GGACTGAAAGTAAAGTTCCGTCACCCACTTATATTGCCCGTTTTCTTAGTTGAGTGCATGGTGCAACACTGTGCGATGAAGATTTCACTTGGAATGATGTTCGATCTCTGTGTGGTTTATTTTGACTGTAGTGGAGGTTTGTGAACTGCAGATTCAGAAAGCGACATGTAACGTTATGCCGCAAAACTGATGGCGCCTTAAGTAATATTGTGTGTTGAATAGCTGATTGATTTCAGCTACTTCTTCCATAGACGGTGAATTGTAATTATGGCAGCAGACTGTAAGTGTTGGTACTCTGGTCGCTGTCTTCTGTATTTAATGCGCATGTATGCTGTTTGTGATTGCTGGGACTCCAGTCGCTTTTCTATTTAAAAAAAAAAAAAAATTCTTTAACTGAGGCTATGGTTATTGTGTGTGGTTTTTGCTGGCACTAAAGTTGAGCAGTTAATGGGTGGCCGTGAAGTTGAAATAGCGACTAAAATCTAACATCTGTCTGGAATAACATGCTGAAATAGCATCTATAACATGCGATAGTAGATACTGATGACTGTTGCAGTAGAATTGTTAAAATGGCGGCTAAAACATACTTATTATAGTGTTCGACATACACAGAGCAGGGAAAACTGTATTGGCCTAAGCCACCACTCTGTCAAGACAAACTCTTCTGGGAGATGTCTGACTCGGATTGCAAGCTGTTTTTGTTCAATTTAACATCTAGAGGTGTACGAAAAAGAACAACGAAGAAGAAGAACAGCAACAATAACAACACCAACAACGATGATGATGACGAAGCAAAACTAAAGTAGAAGAAGTCTAAGAACAACACGATCAGAGATAACTGGTGTTAATTCGATTTGCACAGAAATGCGATTTGGGTCAGCCTCTTAGTGAGCTTATCAGACTTCGTCATGTGGTGTTATTGTTTTATATGCAAATCTGCGTTGTCTGTCACATACACTAGAGCTTGGTTCTTTAGATGTAAATCTGCGTTGTCTGTCACATACACTTGAGCTTGGTTCTTTAGATGTAAATCTACGTTGTCTGTCACTTACACTTGAGCTTGGTTCTTTAGATGTAAATCTATGTTGTCTGTCACATACACTTGAGCTTGGTTCTTTAGATGTAAATCTACGTTGTCTGTCACATACACTTGAGCTTGGTTCTTTAGATGTAAATCTGCGTTGTCTGTCACATACACTGGATCTTTGTTCTTTAGATGTAAATCTGCGTTGTCTGTCACATACACTTGAGCTTGGTTCTTTAGATGTAAATCTGCGTTGTCTGTCACATACACTTGAGCTTTGTTCTTTAGATGTAAATCTACGTTGTCTGTCACATACACTAGAGCTTGGTTCTTTAGATGTAAATCTGCGTTGCTGTCACATACACTGGAGCTTTGTTCTTTAGATGTAAATCTGCGTTGTCTGTCACATACACTTGAGCTTGGTTCTTTAGATGTAAATCTACGTTGTCTGTCACATACACTAGAGCTTGGTTCTTTAGATGTAAATCTGCGTTGTCTGTCACATACACTGGAGCTTGGTTCTTTAGATGTAAATCTACGTTGTCTTTCACATACACTGGAGCTTGGTTCTTTAGATATAAATCTACGTTGTCTGTCACATACACTGGAGCTTGGCTCTTTAGATGTAAATCTGTGTTGTCTGTCACATACACTGGAGCTTTGTTCTTTAGATGTAAATCTACGTTGTCTGTCACATACACTTGAGCTTTGTTCTTTAGATGTAAATCTACGTTGTCTGTCACATACACTTGAGCTTTGTTCTTTAGATGTAAATCTACGTTGTCTGTCACATACACTTGAGCGTGGTTCTTTAGATGTAAATCTGCGTTGTCTGTCACATACACTGGAGCTTTGTTCTTTAGATGTAAATCTGCGTTGTCTGTCACATACACTTGAGCTTTGTTCTTTAGATGTAAATCTACGTTGTCTGTCACATACACTTGAGCTTTGTTCTTTAGATGTAAATCTACGTTGTCTGTCACATACACTTGAGCTTGGTTCTTTAGATGTAAATCTGCGTTGTCTGTCACATACACTTGAGCTTGGTTCACGAAAACATGCCTTAGGGGACAATTAAGTTTGTGAACAAAGGTTTCTGGGGTGGGGGAGGGGGGAATGGATGTCTCGGTTTCAGAGCAGAGCTGAGCCAGAGCCTCGTTTCCTGGACAAGCAATCCTGAAAGCAGCTACGTCACGCGATGAGACTGTAGTTAAAGAGCAGTTTCTGCTTAAATTTGCATACATAATTTATCTATTTATTTTTCCCATTGAGGGTAATAACATTGTTTACATTGCTCTGTACACTTGTGTGTATCACATGCTTGTTGTAAATGTTAAAATGTAGACCTCTGGAATTGAGGGGCGAATTAACCCATTTTAAATTAATTCATATGGGGGGTGTAGGTAGGTAGGTAAGGACATCAGACAAGCGATAAACACCCGGTGACACTAAGTGCCGCCATGCGGATGAGGATCACCCGTGGAGGTGTCCCAGAAACCCCGTTCAGCCGTTAAATCATATTTATGGCCCGGCTATATTTGGGGCCCTCGGCAAAAGCCCGGGTGGGGCTTCAAATAACGAAACATTGCATCTCTAAAGTTAGTATGTGGGGGAAGATTGTTTCTGTTGTCGGCTTTGGAACAGTTTTTGGGAACGGTTTTAGTTTGATGACCGAGGTTCCTCTGTATGTAGTTAAGCGGCTGGTCTTAGTTTTTGTTCCGCTCTTCAGTCATGCGGTTCGTTAATTTGCATCTGCTAACTAACCTCATCAATGATTCCTTGTCGTCTGTAACTGAGTCAGACGTGCGCAGTGTCCTGATTTGAAACAACGTTGTACCAAATCACCCTTGAACACCCGCCCCATCCTGCTTTTGCATTTCAGAGATTACACATACACATAAGACAAGTTTGGCTTCAGTAATTGAAGTGAACTTTTTGGAAGCCATATTGACAAGGAAACGCATTCCTGACTTTGGCCTGAATTAACTCTTTCAGAACATGGCAGTTGTAACTCAGATAATTTATGTCCTTCAGTGTGTATACTTTTGAGTAACTCTTTTACCTGAAATGAGATAACTATGTGGCACAAAGCGGACGAAATTACTTGGATATAACTGATTATCTTTAGAGAATAATGGAACAAAAAAAGTTTAGAAATATAAACCTCATATAGAGTTATCTAGAGGTTTATGGCGAGTTCCTGAAACTTGAGGAGTTAAAGAAATATGGCACAAAGACGTGGTCTGCCAAGATTATAACACCGTGACTTAGTTTATTTAATGCTGGTGACACTTTATACCCGTTGGAGCGTATACTTTATTTCGTATTTTTGGCAGCATATTAGTTTATGTATTTAGGGTTGGTTTTAAGCTGAGTGGTTAATAGAAAAGCTTTTCTTTAAAAATCAAATCACTGGTTTAAAAAAAAATCCGTTCTTGTTTGTGGTAGAATTCTCTTCTGTTTCTGACATGGCAAATACAGTCCTAGCAGTGTCATACGGGCTTTGTGGACACTGGCAAAGTTTGCAATTCTTGAACACCCCCCCCCCCCCCCCCCCCCCCCCCCCTCCCCCCCCCCACCCCCCACCCTCCCCCCCCCCCCCCCCGTCCCGAGCAAGTTCCCAGTATTGTCATATTGTAGCTGAATCTAGTAAATGCCGCAACCCTACACTTTACATCCCTGACATGTACTTAGCCGCCTGTAGAATACTTTTACTACCGCTTTCTCGTCTCTTCTTCTTCTCCTACCCTGCCTGCTCTTTCGCGTTTTTACAGTTCGCTGTTGTTCTGGTAAAGTCTACAGAAGAGAGTAGGTCTTCTGTATAAATGTCTTTGTACCTGGGAGTGACACATGAAAAGAGGTATAGACCAGTTGGTACTGAGCAGTGGCTCTCAACCTTCCTACTGCCGCCACCCTTCAATATAGTTCAATATAGATCCATCTTTAAATAAAGAACTAAGAAATGTCCTGGGATGTAAAGACAGCTGACATGATACTGGTCTCCTCACCAGTCAAATGCTGATTGCTCTGTCAGTTTATGAGCTAGCACCATTTGCTCTTGGCACCAGTGACATGAACAGATCCCTGTACTTAGTGTCCTTGTATCTTTAATTGTGTGGCTCTCACCACACCACATGACACCATTTTATAACAGCTGACTTATGTCTAGACTCTTAACCTTTAACCCCCTTTGTTTAACCCCCTTTCACTACTGATTGGTCTGTAAAATTATCGGTCTGTAAAGTATCTTTCTCATATACCTGATACGCCTAAAGGCATGAAAAGGGATTTTAACTTGTTTACTTTGAACCCTTTCACTCCCAGTCAGGTGTTAGTGTAACTCTGTCAGGCCTAAAGAGTTGTTATTTTAGCTAACCAGTGCTGGGATCTCAGGGGAACCTTTCTCATGCCTTTGGCACTTTAGACATATAGTGCTAGGACTAAATTTTTTTAAATAGACCAGTGGCACTTGATGGTCGATGTAGCCAACATCACACTGATTGCCTTAACTTTCGCCCTGCGAGGAAAAAACAAACAACAGGCAAACTTCTAAACAGCTGGCACCAAAAGTTTGGGAACACTTCATTGGCTGCTGAGGAAAGGATAGAGCAGTATAGGAGTGTCCCAATTGCAGTAAAAGCAGGTAAAGGACCCTTTTCCACGCCTTTCAGGCGTTTTGGGTATATAGGGCAAGACCTATATTTGATAGACTAACGGCACAAGATGGGTGATGTATTCAACATCATGCCGGCCACCTTTACTTCCCAGTACTGCACCTGGTACCCACTCAAGCCTGGGTTGACCTGGGAGCAAAGGTCATTTTTGAAAAAAGTCCGGCTCCGCCACGGAGCGAACCCAGGACATTCTGATCAGCAGGCCAGTGTCTAGTTGCTATGCCACGGCGACCTCCGTCCTAAGCTCAGTGATGTCAGTTATTTTTTTCATTCATCTTGGTGTGTGTTTGTATCCTTCTCAGGTGGTACCTAAAGACTACAAGACAATGGCTGCCCTGTCTAAAGCTATCTCCAAAAATGTGCTGTTCTCTCACCTGGATGACAATGAAAGGAGGTAAGTGTATAGTTCTGCATGGTGTCAGGAAATGTTTGAAAAACATGGTACCTGTGTGTGGAGACATACATTGTTTGTGCAGGCCTGTAGAATAGAGAATTATATCATGTAAAAAAGTCCCTTTTCTGTGCCTTCAGGTGCATTGGGCATATAGGGCTAGTCCTATATTTTATAGACCAGTCGACACTGGGTGGGTTATATAGTCACCGTCACGCTGGCCGATCATGTGTGAGGATGAATACTTGTCAATGTGTGAAGACACAGTATTAAAACATGCAGTAGATGGCTGTAGAATTATCTGTTAGGGTAAATGCAACGCACATGTCAAGCAGATGTAAAACTAGAGACAGGAGGAATTAGTAACAGATCAGTTTACTAATTTAGGTAACAATTTTGATAGTTCAGGAAATAACCCCCCCCCCCCCCCCCAAAAAAAAAAAAATCATGACATACATTGGCACAGCTTCTGCAGCTTTAAAAAGCCTGAACAAAATTAGGTGTAAAAAAGTAAAGGTCCTTTTTCCACGCCTTTAGGCCTAAAGGGCATATAGGGCTAGACCTATATTTTTATAGTCCGATCAGCACAAGATGGATGATGTGGTCAGCATCACACCGGCTGCCTTTACTTCCTGGGACTGCACCCAGTACCCACTCAAGGCTGGGTTAACCTGGAAGTCAAGGTCATTTTTGAAAAAACTCCGGCTCTGCCGGGGAGCGAACCCACGACCTTCCGATCTGCACGTGAGCATCTAGCCGCTACGCTACGGCGACTCTAAATTGTATATTTTTAAAACCAACTTACTTATTTTCAGTTCTGATGTTATTTCAGTTTTACCATATGCTAGTGAAAGTGGGAGAACTACTTAAGACACAGAATTAAAGCTAAATCCATTAGCAAACATATGCCTGAGGAAAATGTTAAACATAAAATAGGATAAATTTAAGAGGGCAAAGAAATAAGAGCTCTGGGCAACCAGTGGTAACAACAGTTGTAAGACAAAGAAGATGGTGTTATGTTGAACATATCCTGAAAGGAAACCAGCTTAGAATCACCAAAGAGGCTTTGCTTTGGGAAATGGAAGGATTGAGAGCTAGAACACCCAAAAGAAACCCTAAAACAGATGTTCTGGCGAGAGGCCAAAGGTGCTGGATTGGATTCCGTCCATGATATTGAATTGAATGTAAATGGATATAGTGGAATGGAGGAATAGATTGCAAGCCCTATATGACAGGCCAAGTAGGACAGTGAAGATGATGATGATGTAATGATATATGCAACAGACCTCTAAAGACAGTCAGAAGAAAAAGCTTAATGAAAGACATGACCATTTGTGGCTATCAGCCACAATTTCACAGAGTCTTACCTTTGTCTGTTTCACTTATGTTTTCAGTGATATTTTCGACGCCATGTTCCCAGTTCATAGACATGCAGGGGAAGTCATAATACAGCAGGGTAAGAGAAGCATGTGTATTTATGTGTTTGTGTGAATGAGAGAGAGAGAGTGGGGAGCATGTATCTGTATGTTTGAATGGAGAGAGTGTGTGTGTGTCTGTGTTTGTGTGTGTGTAAAAGTGAGAGAGAAACAGCTTTTTCCAAGCCTTGAGTTCCTAATATTTATAGACCAGTAGGCCTTTGATTAATAATTTGGTTCATGTCATTCCAGCTGCCTTTACATCCTAGGAAATTTTCTGTTACTCACTTCACTCTAATGAAGGCTGCCATGGTGTAGCAGCTAGACGCTCACATGCCGATCAGAAGATCATGGGTTTAGGTGCTGAAGGAGCCAGACTTTTTTTTTTAGCAGTGACCTTGGCTCCCAGTTGACACAGCCTTAAATGGATACCGGGTACCATCTGGGAAATAAAGTTGGCGGGCGTGATGTTGATCAATTTGAGTGCTGATTGGTCTGTAAAATATAGGTCTAGCCCTATATGCCCAATACACCTAAAGGCATGGAAAAGGGTCCTTTCTCTTTACTTTAGTCAATCTGGAAACTGGTCAGTTTGTCTTCCCTGCTTTAAAAGGGATTCAATCACTTGACCACCGGGCCAGCAGACAAAGCTGCTTGCTACTTCACCAGTGCTACCTGTCTGTCAGTATGTATGTTTTGTTTTGTTTTTTTGAGGTACTTATTTCTTGTTTACTAATTGTCTGTAATTAATTTCCAGGTGATGAGGGAGACAACTTCTATGTTATTGATCAAGGGGAGGTAGATGTAAGTATGAGTTTACAAACTATTACATGAATAAAGTTAAGTACACAGTTAATGCCAATTCTTTGTTTCCATACAGTTTGTAACTGAGACACTGAGACAGGAGTTAAAGTAAAATCCTATCTATGACCAGGGTTGTAATAACAATAGTGATTTCATTGATACAATTAGTAAGCCTCAGAATGAAGACAGAAAACCGAATGTGTGGACATGTGAAAAGAAGGAGTTAATAATACATTCCATAGAAATGGACATATGTCTGGTCTGTCTGTCTGGTCTGTCAGTCTTTCTGCCTCTACCTTGCATGCACACCAACCCACACACATGATTAAACACTTTTTCCATACTGTGAGATGTTTTGGAGTTGTTAAGAGCTAGCTCATATTTGTATTCAGTTGGCCTTTGGTGAATGATGTGGTCATTGATTAAGTGGCTACTTTTACTTCCCATATCATTTTCAGGCAACGTTTTTAGACTCAGTTAAATTAAAAAATAATTGCCTGAGTTAGTCATGTCACCCAAAGTCGCCTGGGTCTTTCATGATCTAAACCGTATGTAGAGAAACATTTTGATATAGGGTTAAAAAAAATTTTTTTTTTAAATATAAACATTTTTTGATACAGACAAAAATTTTTGTAAATGCAAACATTTTTTTATAGAAAAATATTTGGATTTTCGTCATTGCCACATACCTTACTCATATACACTTTGTTGTGTTCCTCCTTATGGAATCAATGGAAGGATTATTGGATCACTTATTTAGGGATAACCCTTTTTGCCAAACCATATTTATGGATATGTTTAGAGTGTTGATTGCTGAAATATTAATATGTGCAGTGTTGACTGGTCCTTGCAGTTCTTGACTGTTATGTGCTGAAATATTAATATGTGCAGTGTTGACTGGTCCTTGCAGTTCTTGACTGTTATGTGCCAACAGGTGTATGTCAATGGTGCTCATGTAACCAGCATTGGAGAGGGGGGCAGTTTTGGTGAGCTGGCTCTCATCTATGGCACGCCCAGGGCAGCCACTGTCAAGGTGAGTTATTGTAGCTCTGTTTCTTGTTGAAGTTTTAATGGCACAGTAGTTTATGTGCTGGCTTATCGACACAGTAGTCAGGCATTCAATCTCCATGCTAACCATGTGGGTTCTGGGATCCCATTTGGGGAAACAGAATAGACTCCCTTCCCCCTAAGTAGCATGTTGTAAAAGGTGACTATGTATTTGTTTAGAAGTCATAGCACATCTAAAGCAGATCTGATCTGCTCTCCTACTGGGGATGGGGGGGGGGGGGGGGGGGGGGGGGGGGGGGGGGAACCAACAGTTTGCGCACAGTTGAGCCAGATCTATAAAATTAATTTGCATGCAAAAACTCAAGTTCTGAAACAAGACTTTTGGGTTCCTTGACTCTCAAGCTGATGCACTGAAACTTCAAAAGAAACACCCATAGTTAGCCACCTCTTATGACGTCCTGATTAGGGAGGCTATGAGTTTCCCTCCTCCCGCCCCAAACACACACACACACAGACACACACAATGGGGCCCGGAATCCACACATGGAGAGTGAGAGGTTGAGAGTGAGTGAATGGAAAAATGCAGAATAAAGTGTTTTGGGCTTATTAGATGAAAAGTATGATCAGTTGACCCGTCTGGCAAAATCCAACCAGTAGTAAACAAGTCTACAACGGCTTGATCTGAATTGATTAAATGCCTATACTCCACTGGGAAATGCAAAGAAGAAAAAGAATCAATCAATGATAATCATCTTGTTAAAAGGCTTTATTTTTGGTGAACTTTCACTACTGACTATCACAGTCGTCCTCATTCATACTTCTGGACAATTTAAAAGAGGGTTGAGCCTCTCATTCCATCCTCTCCTCGAAACTGAGCCACCATTGTTTTCTTATGTAAGCACCTCTGGCCTATAGTTGTTGTTGGTTCATTTTGTCTTTGTTCTATATGCAAGCTGATTAGGATCTGAGGTGTGTTTGCACTGATATTTTTCCTGGTGTTTTCAAACCCAGGTACTTGAGTGTCTTTTGGATATTTTTTCCTGGGTATTGAGGTGTATTCGAAAATAAGCAAGCAGGCAGACTGGAGCTGCATCACTGATTGGTAATTGGTGCATAGCATCTGGTTGTGGTGAAGGCCCTTGGGAGCAAATAAACTATGCAGAAGCAGTAATAAATCATCTTGGCCTGAAGAGAATAGGGCAGTGGTAACTGACTAGGGAATTTGTCTGATACTCAAAGGAAAGGCGGGTGAACATACCATCAGAATAGGAATCTGTGCTGCCTCCTGTGGATTGCAACAGACCACTGTTAAGAATGTTCTGAGAGTTGTGGTGTGGGTTCTTTACATGTATTTTCGTAACTTTACTGCAGTTCACTGTTTTACTTCCTGTATGCCTCTTGTATTCTTCCAGAAATACTACTCTCTGTTAGTCTGTTTTGTATGTATTGTATTTTCATAGTAATGTATTGATCTATATCGTATATGAAGTTTTTTTGTGTAGTATTGTTCTGTGTTCCTGTATACTGATAAAGGATTTATAGTGACAACATTATTCTTGTTTTTCATCATTTTCTTTTACTGGCATAAAGTTCTACATTTGGGTTGATTTTGTTGTTATTATTGTTGTTGTGAAATTACTGGGTTGTTGCTGTTGTTTTCACTACTGCTGATACTATGTAGCTGTTATTGTTCATGTAGTTATTATTACTGCTGACAGTATGTATCCATTGTTGTTTTTGTTGTTTCTTTATATTATTTACCGCATTTATTGTATAAATTTGTTTTTGTTTTTACCTTTCTGGTTGCTACTGCTGTTGCACTTGTTGGCTCATTCTGGTATCCTTTCTTTTCTGGTTGGTCAAACAAGGAGTCCAAGTCACTCAGATATCTATATATTGTCACTTGTGTTTCTCCTACTTGCCTTTCAGGCTCAGCTGGCCCAGTTAAGAATACACTGTTCTAATGAGGGAGACCCAGGTTCAAATCTTTGCTAAGGTTGGGGATTTTTTATTGGCAAAAATAAAATCCTAACCTGCACAGTCTGTGGCGACAGCATTTTTCACTGAATTCTCAGGCTCAAACACCCCTTTCCCGGTTACACCGCATATGTGGTAAATAGAGTAGGTATTGGCAGTTGTTTCTCCTCACATATGAGTTCACCTTTGTTTTGTTTCTTTTGGAAGCAGGTAAATAGGCTTTCTTTTACATCTCTGTCAATTCTTTTTTAGTTTTAATTTTAATAGGCAACAACAACATGCTGACATGTGCTGTCCAGCTACAGGGCCAAAGGCACTTTAGCACTCTTCTTTATTGAAAACCCACGTCAGATCATTTCCATATTAATCTTGGATCCATTTGCCATCGCCTGCTTGATGTAACATGCTGAACGTTCAAGTAATACAGCAGATATTTTTTTCTCAGATAATTTTATTCAATTTTCTTGGAGAGCATTCCTAATGTGGCAGGCAGAATCAGTGATAAAGATTTCTAGCCAGTAGCATGCATGCAAATAAAGCAGGAAAACATATTGATTTATTTCGTGGGCTGTTATCAGAATTCAAGTCAGTGGGGAAGTTCTAGAAAAAACAGCAGTAAGGTCTGAAATCAGTGGGTGGTTATCTGGTACACAATTGTGGTCCCTTTGACTGCAAGAAATGGGTACACAGGAAACTGTCATACAAACAGGATTTGCCAGTAAACTAAGAAATGTGGCAACACCCAGATTCATGGAGTCAAGTTAACTGGACTGCTCATGGGGATGGTTTGTTCTGATTGATTAATGCTGACATAATGAGCGGCTGATAAAACATAATGAGAGGCTGATAAAACAAAATGAGCAGCTGATAAAACATAATGAGAGGCTGATAAAACATAATGAGAGGCTGATAAAACATAATGAGAGGCTGATAAAGCATAATGAGAGGCTCATAAAACAAAATGAGCGGCTGATAAAACATAAAGAGAGGCTGATAAAGCATAACGAGAGGCTGATAAAACATAATGAGATGCTGATAAAACATAATGAGATGCTGATAAAACATAATGAGAGGCTGATAAAACATAATGAGAGGCTGATAAAACATAATGAGTGGCTGATAAAACATAATGAGAGGCTGATAAAACATAATGAGCGGCTGATAAAACATAATGAGAGGCTGATAAAACATAATGAGCGGCTGATAAAACATAATGAGAGGCTGATAAAACATAATGAGAGGCTGATAAACGTTACACTGTGTATACAGTCTGGATTAATTTATCAACTTTTAATACCAAACATCTCACTATACCTTTCTTGCTCATTCTAAAAATAATGCAGGGGCTGCGTGGTCTTGAGGCATGATGCCTGCCTCGAGTGCCAGAGGTTCTGAGTTCAATCCCCAGTCTTCTTCTTCTTCTTCTTTCGTTCGCCTGAAATAAGTTATCTATATCAGCAGTTTTGTCTCTTGTATAAATTTCACTGTCGTTGTTAGTTCATTCAGTGGTCCATAGAGTTTACGTTCCACTGTTGTTCTTTCTGTTTTTGCCTTAATGTGTCAAAATCGGTGCAGTCCTGGAGTACATGCTCTGCGGTCTGGGGCACATTTCCACAGGTGCACATGGCTGATACACCTATCTTGAATTTTGTGTACATGTGGTTACGTAATCGGTTGTGCCCTGTTCTGAGTCGGAAGATAATGACTAGTTCTGATCTGTCCATAATAAAATAGTCGTCTGTGCTGGGGCTGGTGGTTTCCTGATCGATTTAATGATTCTTTTCTTTTTGTATGTGACTGGTTGGTTACATCTGGCTGCTCTTTTTTCGCACCTTCCCCTGCCAGTTGATCAGCTTTTCTGGCATTTCCTTAAGGCACTCCACAATGAGACGGTATCCACTGCATTGGGCTGACTCTTCGCTGTGTACATGCTGGTTAGTAATCGGTTGTGCCCTGTTCTGAGTCAGATAATTGACAATTCTGATCTGTCCATAATCCTAGTCGTCTTGTGCTGGGGCTGGTGGTTTCCTGATCAATTACTTTTCTTTGGTGGTATTGAGGTACATCTGCTAAGCCATTGACAGCTTTTCATTTCCAGTGAGCCGGTAAGGTTGGTAACGCTGAGCAGTTTGCTTCTGTAGCTATCTAATGGAGCCTGGGTTTCTGCATTACGTGAGTTATGGTAGTAGCTTTTCTCCGCTATTGGTAATAGCTGGACTTATCCCTAGTTATGGCCATCTGGGCTGGAATTCGATGTACACTCCAGCGACCACTCATTCTAACTGCACTTTCTGCGGACCCATCTGTATAGACTCTGACCCATTGTTCTTGTGGGTATTCTTCATCAATATAACTGAGGGTGGCCATTTTGCGTTGTACACTATCTTGCTCTTTCTTGTCAAATATCCCTTTCACATTTGTCTGGATTTGTACCGTTAGTTTACATTTTTCTTCCCATGGGGTTTGTTCCGGAATACTTTTTAGTGGGCAGCCAATTTCTGGAAGGTCAGGAGTTTGTCTACATATTCTTTTTGCTTGGTGTATAAAGCTGCTTCTTTTTAACCGTCCCAAGGCTAGGTTCTTAAATCTATTTTCCATCGGGTGATCTGGCATACTGAGGAACTTTTCAGCTTCAATCCCCAGTAAAGGCTAGGATTTTTTTACTTGGACTTCTAGTAATTCCCCCTGGTCTCTGGGTAATGAGATCAGACGCACTTGTACATTGTTGCACACGTAAAAAAATCCCTTGGCAGTTGGAAATCGAAAAGAATAGCCTAACGGCAATGCCTGGACAAAATTTAGAGTTAAAAATCTACTCATAGTATTTCTGGATCCCCGCCGGTACTACAGAGCCTGTTCACTGAGCTGTTGAGTTAGAAGAAGAACGGAGCACTAATGGGTTACTACCTGTGTGCCAAGATGTTGATCACTAGTTCAGAACCTCAAACCTAAAAAAAAAAAAAAATGTGAGAAATTAGTCCAATGAACTGTGATTAAAAACCTTAACGAAGTGGGGAAGCAGAACGTGTGTGCACAGAACACACAACTTGATGTTTCGGCCGGGGCCTTTCTCAACATGAACTAACTACACGATAGTAACAAAGGGGAGAGTACTTCAACCACCAGCGTCCACCAGGTGGTCACATGAGAAACTATTAAACAGTGATGTAGAATTAATAAAATGAAATTTAAAAAATAAATAAAGGAAAGCTCAAAAAATAGTCATAAATTGATAGTGATAATATATAATAATAGTAGAAATAAAAGAGTAGTAAAAATATGAGCCATAACTGGTACTGATAAGAGATAGAATAAAATAATAATAGGAAATAAAAAAATAAATAAAAAAATAAAATAAAATAAACTTAAAAAAAAATAATAATATGACAATGGTGAAACTGTTTAGATGAAGGATGTTCAACATTGATACCTTCTGGACTCAGCACACTTAATCCATGGGTGAGGTAATCTTTTCAAAGCGAATCAAGTGGTATGATCACGAGAGCAGGATATTAATGTGGTGATAGATATATCATCATTGCCTCTGTGGTCAGAGCTGGTAAAATGGAGATGGATTGGTTTAAGCATCTTCTTTTCAGTATCCAAGAGAAGTTCCCAGGACCCATCAGCCAGCTTCCTGCCGGTTGCTCCAATGTATTCCTTGTTGCATCTTTTACAGATTATGGCATAAATTATGTTTCAGGATTCACAAGTAAATGGTTCCCTACTTTGGAAAGAACCACTGGGGAAACTGACATTATCCAAAGATAATGTGATATGTTTGGTAACTTCTGCGACAAACGGATATTATATTTAAAACTTGTATCTGAATTTTTAGTCCAATATTATCCCACAATGCCTCTTTTCAATGTCTTCTAGCTTAAATATTCATTGCTTTAGGCTCATCTCCTTGGGATAGACAGTTAACATCTTGATGGGACTGAAAGGTTAAGGTTGCACAGTGATTGCGGTTGTGTTCATGATAATTAATGCTGACATAATAAGAGGCAAATAAAGGTTGTACTGTGAATGTAGTCTGGTTTTTGTTGTTGATTACAGTTGCACTGTGAATGGATTTAGATTTTAAGGTTGCACTGTAAATGTAGACTGATTCATAATCAATAATGCTGACATAATGAGAAGCTGATAGTGGTTCACTGTGTACATAGTCTGGTGAATCCAAACTTACAGTTAGCAAGCATGGAACAACTAGATCATCTTTAATTTTGATATTATCTAGGTTTTATTTATTCAGGCATGATGGTGAGAGGAAGAAAAAGAAGCAGAGGAAGATGCAGGACAGTGTGGCATCATGGCATTGAAGGTCATCTGTATTAGAAATGATTGAAAGCACATGATAGACATGACTACTACATGGCATGGGCTACAAATAAGTTATCCAATCAGATCAAAAAACTTGGAGAGGCAGCTAGCTTCAAAGTCAGCAGAAAACCTGTCATGTGTCTTCAGTGTCACCATGCTATATTATATTTTCTCTTTGCTTTCAGGCTAAAACTGATGTCAAGCTATGGGGTATTGATAGAGACAGCTACCGGCGAATTTTGATGGTAAACACACATTAGTTACAGCAATGTAATAGTAATTGAAACCAGAATATCCTGCATAAGTGAAGTCACCTTTATTTTTGTTCCGGGACACGCAGGCGTCGATGGAAATGAAAGAGCTGACAGGTTGGCTGCATCCGCTATCACTGCCGACGGTCAACCTGTGGATCATGCTGATATTTTCAGTGCCCTCAGAGAAATGGGAAGAATGGAGGACTTTATGGGCAGTGAATCCACATCACTCTCCAGAATGGCAGACCTGCGAATTAAGATCGGCATAGCAGACACGCCAGAAGACTTGTTAATCAACATAGAACTGGTACTATTAGCCATCGGACGTTGGGGTTCTTACTGAGGGGAGGATCTGAGCACCTATGGACATGTCGGGAGTGCAATGATGATAACCCAACTAACTAACTAACAAACTAACTAATGTCTAGTTTGAGAATGGAGCTGGAGGCAGTCAGTGCTTTCTTCCTCTGGCTCGAGAATCAGCTGTACATGTTGGCTGTCATTGTAACTGACTTACAGAGCATGTTGACAAAGGTGGAGACTGGCTTGCTCCATTAGAGTGGCAAGCATCACTTCAAAGGTCCCGGGTAGTTAGCGTCCTTTGGATATTTTCTCCAGGTTATGCCGGTGTGTTGGGAAATGAACTGGCAGATAGACTGGCCAGTTCTGCACCACTTGGTGGTGAACTGATGTATGACGAGCTGGAGTGAAATGTGCCGAGGAAACAAATAGATCATTACGTTCTGGGGAGAATGGCACTGCGAGAAGTTACAAGGGGATCTGGCCGACACTCGACACTCGGGGGGAAGGCAAGATGAATATACAATCAGTTACTGGTACCATCAGAATTTTAACTCTTCGCTTGCTGTTGACGATGGGAACTGAATGCTTATGGGGGTGTCCTGATTGCTGGGATGTCGATTCTTTATTCAACATTCAACAAGAATATCCTATTCAACCCATATGACTTATAATTGGGACATACTTTAATGTGTGGGGTCACTTGTCACTTTCTATGAAATGGGATCATGACCCACAAAATCTTGAGAACCACTCACTAGGACATAGTTTACTAATACAGGATGACAATTTCCTTATATTCATCTCTTTGCCTTTCCAGACAATATCCAAAAGCATTATCCACCGTTAATCTCATGCTGTTGGGGTGAGTAGTAGATGTTGAGAAATAATCCTTGCCATCATTGAGATTTGAAGCTAGTGTACTGGCTCGGCAGGCGAGTGCAGTATTCTTCTTCTGCATTCAACATCAGCCATGCTAAAAATTCAGCCCCATCTGGTCACTGATAGGAAGGTTCTTCTAAGGTTGCCACCAGTCCTCCACAGCTTATCTTTTAATGTAGCTACATTAGGCCAGATTCCAAACCTCTGCTGGGAGTAGAAGGAGCCATCTTTCAGTATATGCTCTGGAGTCCATCTGCTCAACATTCAGTGGGGGTAGATTTTGTTATGCCTGTTTTGTGTAGGTGTGCTCAAAGACAGCAGTGTAAGGCTCAAAGCCTACAAATGATTCTTTGTTCATCCCCTGTGTTGCTTTGTATCAGCAACTTCAACACCAGAAGTGTAAGGCTCGAAGCCTACAAATGATTCTTTGTTCATCCCCTGTGTTGCTTTGTATCAGCAACTTCAACACCTGAAGTGTAAGGCTCGAAGCCTACAAATGATTCTTTGTTCATCCCCTGTGTTGCTTTGTATCAGCAACTTAAACACCTGAAGTGTAAGGCTCAAAGCCTACAAATGATTCTTTGTTCATCCTGTGTGTTGCTTTGTATCAGTAACTTCAACACCTGAAGTGTAAGGCTCGAAGCCTACAAATGATTCTTTGTTCATCCCCTGTGTTGCTTTGTATCAGCAACTTCAACACCTGAAGTGTAAGGCTCAAAGCCTACAAATGATTCTTTGTTCATCTCCTGTGTTGCCCTCCCTCCCACAACTTAACCCTTTCCATGTAATATTCTGGTATTTTGAGGAACAACTGTGTGATAAAATGGCAGCATATCAACCTGCTACCTTGCAAGACCAGTGTTAAGTCTTTCCTTTTTCATACATCTCACTGGTCTTTATTTAGAAAATTTAGACAATGTCTGTAATTATGATAACATAATTATAATAAGGTAAAGTACCTCTACATCTGAAGTAAAAATGGGAAAAAATTTACTACTAAAAACAAATCACCATTGGGTTCTGTTTTTTTTCTCTGTGTCTCTGTTGCATAGAGGTTAGCAAATGTGGTTAACGATTTCATGAAACTTGAATACTGTGGTTCATTCCCCACGGTGGAGGATATAAAAAAATAATAACAACAACAACCCACCCACTAAAAACAAGGCCTGTTGAGGGCTCTTTGGGAGCGAGTGAAAAGTGCGGAGGCACAGATAGATCGTTACGGTCTGGGGAGAATGGCACTGTAAATAGTTACAAGGAAATCTGGTCGGCGCTCAACACTCAGGGAAAAAGCGAGACGGATATACAATCAGACAGTAACTGGTTCCATTGGAATTAGAACTCTTTGCTTGCTGCTACAGATAGGAACGGAGTGCTTATGGGGGTGTCCTAAGTGCTGTGATGTCGATTTTTAATTCCACATTGTTTTCTGGTTTTCAGGGCAGCACCATTCGCAAGAGGAAGATATATGAAGACTTCCTTGGCAAGGTCTCTATTTTAGGTAAGTGTGGTATGTTGTCAGTGAATTTTGTGTTTATCTGTCACTAATGAGAAAAACCATTCAGCATCAAAACACAATAAGTAGTCAATGATTATGATTGAGCAAATGGGCTAACGCTCACAGTTTGAGCCGAGAAATGTCTTTGTTAAGATTGTCTGCACAAGTCTCTCTAGCCTGCCTCCATTTCTCTATCAGTACAACCTCCACTGCCTGGCAGGCTGATGTGCCATGCTTAAGAACTGTACCCCATTCTTGTCAGCCTTGTACAACATCCTCCCATGTTTCTCTAGTAATACCAACATATTTAAGAGCATTTTTTAGAAGTGTCTTAACTCTTTAAGTCCCAAGGAGTGCAGCATTCGTTCATAGGTTCCAACTTAGAAGCCCAGTTAATGCGCGAGGTGCCGATTTTATCTCTCATTACTACCCCTTGGGCCTGTAATGCTAAACCCACGGGGACCCAAAGAGTTAATAGTTTTTAATGTAACATAGCTCATGAATCACTGTCACTGTGTATGCCTTGATATCTTCAACTTAATCCATAGATTGTGGCAAGGCCTTGTTTGTTAACATCTCACATTGTGGAGCATCTTGAGAAATATGGAGTAGCACATGTAATCCACTAAGTTGAAATATTATATCATGAACAACAAGCATATGTCAGACCAGTTGGTGAAACAGGTTGGTACTTATTTTAGGCTAGGTCAGACTGGAAGTCCAAGCCACTTTAAAAAAAAAAACTTCTGCCTCGATGGGAATTTTAATCTCTTATTAACAGGTCATCAGGAAATTGTGCTAGCCAGTATAATACTGGTGGATTCTACAGCTTAAATTATACTTGAATACTGTGGTTCATGTCCCACGCTGGACCATATTTAAAAAGAAAACTGACTCATTGATTAATGTTTATATATATATATATAAAATTTCTACTTCAACAGTCTTGTCCATGCTCAGTCAAGGAAGGCTCAGGTGGCTGGGTCACAGCTGGAGAATGGAGGATGGCAGAGTCCCTAAGGACATCCTTTATGGTGAACATAGGTAGAAGATGTAAAGGCCGACCTCTGCTCTGGTATAAAGATGGTGCAAATGGGACATGAATGATATTGAGGTGGACTCATGGGGAACAAATGCCATAGACTGTGTTGTGTGGAAAGGGTCTATCAGGAAGGGAATGAGAGTGAAGGAAGAAAAGATTGCGGAAATGATGAGAGCTGAGCAACTGAAAAGAAACAGATTAAACACAAATGTTGACAACAATGGTCCTGCTATCATTCTTGACACCGGCAGGCAAGTCTCTGCTTGTCACACTCGCCATGGGCTGTTAGTCCTATGCTTCCTTATAGCTCAATATAACACTATCATCTGGAAAGATGGAAAGGTGCCAATCAATATAAAATGTATGCTTCTGGTTAGGACAGAGTGCAGGGCACCTTACTGTAGTGTATGTGAAATCTGTAGTACTTTGTTTAAGACTTTTACCTTATAAGATGTGGTTTCTGACAAATTACTTTAACCTTCAGAAAATCTGGACAAATGGGAGCGGCTGACTGTTGCTGATTCATTGGAACCAGTTCAGTTTGAGGATAAAGAGGAGATTGTGAGGCAGGGAGAGCCAGGGGATGACTTCTTCATCATTCTTGAGGTGAGCTGTGGATAACGAGGCAGCTGAATTGTTATATTATTATATAGCATTTGAAGATTAGATATAGTAATAACATTGATTTTTACAGCTATCTTCTTCCCCATGACAATTTCTCCCTTCTTTCCCATAAGTTTCTGTCCCTTATCTCATTACCTTTTTGCCTAGTCACTGTATCTAATGTCCCTCAATCTCTGTCTTTCTCCTTTAACTTTCTATAATCTGCTCTTTATCTTTTGTCATTGAAAAAAGATCTTCTCTCTGTAGTTTTCTATAGAATAAATATTGACAGCTTTCTGCCTGTCCATGTGATGGTGTTTTGCTTAAGAAAGCCTGGGAACCACATCCCATGGTAATGATAAATGTGGCTTGCAAGGCATGTTTGCTTTAAGAACAACTTCTTCAATGAGAGCATGGGATTTCAGGACCAACATTGCCATCACATGCTTCTTCTCAGACATTCATTTCTTTACTTGTCTGAAGTAATTTAGAAGGCAAGAAGGAACCATTACACCAATTTTCAAAGAAAATATAATAATAGACAGTCACAAAGCTGGATATATAATAGTATATCATTTTTAAAAAAAAAGATTTAAGACAGACTCCAGCTAGAATGGGTTGGAAACATCCTGAAGTCCCTCCTCACTGAAGAAACTATCTTGACTGTACACACCAGAACACACCATGGTGAAAGGAAGTGAAAGAGCTGACAGACTGGCCATGTCTGCAGTAATTAGTAGAGGAAGAATGATGGGCAAGACACACATATCAAAAGAGCTGTGTTCTGAAGATGCTGACTCAAGGGGTCAGGAGAATGAACTGCCTGTTGGAAATGGGTGGGAAAGAAGGACCAGCATGCAGAAACTGGTTGTGGGCCAAAGAAAGAACATATGCCAATGAATCTCCTTACTGGGTGCAGTTTGTATGGAGGCATAGGGTGACTGCTGCATGGGAGGTTGGAGCACAACTGAGTCAGATCAATGTGGAGGGTGTCAATATGCACAAAAGGTAACAAGTAACAAGATTCAAGACAAATGAAAATATGAGATGACCAACAATAACTGTCTGTGCTTGTCAGTATAGCACATGATGGTGATGAAGATAAGTTACCTAACAAAAATGTAAATGTTCCTCTACACCAGTGTTGTTCAACCTGTGGGTATGGAAAAGTCCAGATGGGCTGCCACAGTTTTCTTCTTTATCAGGTAACAGGGCAGAGTTGTTAGTTTTTTTTTCTTCCTTCCAGGACTGAGTTTGTAGGATTAACAGCTCATAAATTAAAATCAAATAAGTACAAAATCTTGGAAACCCTTTTCAGCCGCATAAAACAGTTTATATTTTGGGAATTTTGTGACAGCTGATGTCGCCATTGCTGAACATTTAAATTTGATGGAATCAGATTTAACAAATAAACTGTTGTCTACATTTAATTTTGTTTTTGTGCTTGGTTAGCTGTAAGATGGACAGCAAAACAGTATTCTCTGTTTTAATGGTCCGAGGTTGTGAAAAAGTTGAGGAACACTGCTCTACACACCAGTGGGGCATCGGGCATATGAGGCTAGACTCACATTTTTTAGATCAATCGGCACTCGAGGGGTGATGTGGTCAACATCTTGCCGACCGCCTTTACTTCCCAGGACTTTACCTGCTTCCCCTTTTAGGGTGGGTCAACCTGGGAGCCAAGGTAATGGATGATGATAAGTCCATGAGCCTAATTTGAAACATAAACTAACAACTAAGATGATAAACTCTACCAGGATTTATCAGGTTGTGTGGTTTTCTAATTGCAGGGTTCTGCTGCAGTCCTGCAGCGAAGGGCTGAAAATGAAGAAGCGGTAGAGGTTGGCCGTCTAGGACCATCAGATTATTTTGGTATGTTTACATCCAATAACTGTTGACTGACTGACTGATTTGTAATGTTGAAAACTGTTGTTTATGCTAAGATCTGTTGACTGACTAACTGATTTGTAATGTTGAAAACTGTTGTTTATGCTAAGATCTGTTGACTGACTGACTGAGTTGTAATGTTGAAAACTGTTGTTTATGTTGAGATCTGTTGACTGACTGACTGATTTGTAATGTTGAAAATGGTTGTTTGTGTTAAGGTCTGTTGACTGACCGACTAGTTTGTAATGTTGAAAACTGTTGTTTATGCTAAGGACTGTTGACTGACTGACTGATTTGTAATGTTAAAAATTGTTGTTTATGCTAAGGTCTGTTGACTGACTGACTGATCTGTAATGTTGAAAATTGTTGTTTATGCTAAGGACTGTTGACTAACTGATTTGTAATGTTAAAAATTGTTGTTTATGCTAAGGTCTGTTGACTGACTGACTGATTTGTAATGTTGAAAACTGTTGTTTATGCTAAGATCTGTTGACTGACTGACTGACTGATTTGTAATGTTAAAAATTATTGTTTATTGCAGGTGAGATTGCACTGCTGCTGGACCGACCTCGTGCTGCCACCGTGGTTGCCCGGGGCCCTCTAAAATGTGTCAAACTGGACAGATCTCGCTTTGAGCGTGTGTTGGGGCCGTGCTCAGACATCCTGAAGCGTAACATCTCCCAGTATAACAGCTATGTCTCGCTCTCAGTGTAATAAGCATGGGCCAGTGGGCGTTTGTCAGCCAGGTCAAGTTATCTGGTCATTTATTTGCTCATAACATCACATTCAGAGTGTACTCAAATTTAACATGAATAACCTTGTTTGGATATAGATCTGTTTTTGTTTAAGATATTATACATTGATAGTAAGTAATTTGTGAAGAATGGATCTCAGCATTTCTTTTGTAGCAGCTAAAACCAGTTGCCAGTGTTGCCACCAAGTCATGTATGATCACACTAGTAGATTGCCTTCTTGTATGCTGAATGTTTACTTCACTAAGTGATATTTATTTTATTTAACAACAACAACAACAAAAACACACATTTGAACAGGCTTTCGTTTTCCTCGCCTTACTTCCATTTCTTCTTATCCTCTACTGTCTTCACCTTTCCTGCTGCTGGTTTTCTCTGTTTCGTGCTTGTTTGGCAACCTCCAGATTTGAATGAATGCACTGTGTTATGCACATCATGTTGTCTTGCCACACTTAGGTTGCTTGTCCATCTTTTAGTAAGGTATTAACCAAAGACACAAATTAACTTCTGAATGTCAAAAGGTAGGATGTTAAGGTATTTCCTTGGAAAATATTGCCTTTGTTGAAGAGAATATTATTTCCTCACAAATGAGAGAATAAGGTCATCTATGTCCTGTGTACACTCGCATGCACACACACACACACACACACATGGGGGGGGGGGGGGGGGGGGGGGGGGGGTAAGTCTGGACTTGGTTGCAAAATACTATTTAGTGGAGAATGTTGCAGAGTTTTCTCTTCCTTTGTCCTAGCTTTAAATAAAATGCCAGTGTGTTGCAAAACCACTTGTTAGATTGGGGATGTAAGCAGTGATGATCTAGATGAGCATACGTGAACTATAACCAAACATTAAACAAACCTCAGTGCATATCTGATAAGGAGAACTCATTAGGGACCCAAGAAATATTTATTTTTGATCAGAAATTCCTCTTATCTGGATAAGCATTCAAGCAAGACAAATTGCTGTGAATAAACCAATTGTTCTTCACCACAGAAATTTACCACATCTGAGATTGACTTTAGCGGTCTAAACTGTATAACTGTAACAGTTGCACAGAGGGACAGTAAACAGATGTACCTGAATGTTTCAATGTGTGTTGAGTTGAACTGTGTGAGTCTTTAACTATTTACATCACACATTGACTGGCTTGGATTTTGCTTTGGCTACTCATATGTCCTTCTTAGTTAAAATTTCATTGTCAGCAGCAGTTCCTGCACTGTAATTTGAGTTAATCCTGAGTTTTGCTTTAGCAGGCCTGATTTTGAAGCCAACTAGAGTTGGTTTCAACTAAGAAAATAACTTCATCATTGCTAACTTGTGTGGACTATTAGAGTGTTAGTCATTTACTGAAGCACTTCATTGAGAATTTGCTGACTCATTTTTGTTTGATTCATGCAGTGTTGAATATATTTATGTCCAGAAATATTGTGATTGTAAATGCTGGTATTTAAGACACATACACACAAAAGGTACCTCATTAGTCAATATATATATTGGTGTCAGGTGGAGAATATAGGGTAATGTTTGTAATGTGGATGAGTCGGTGATCAGATAACTCAACACTAATGTATTACATTATAGTTCCATTGTTAAACATTTGTAAACATCTGAACAGGGGGTCTGGACAATTAGAACACTGAGAGAAAGCACAGGCTTTATATTATATACATGTGAGAAAGAGAATACAGCACCATAAGGAAACAGCAAGGAGTGCTGAATGTTATTGTTAATGTACAACATATTCTGAAAATGCTAGACACTAGTTATTACAAAAGTAAACGCTAGGTATGGATTACTGTTCTTGCTGGAAAACCAAGGTTTTGGTCATGTATCTTCTGTAACTTTCAGATTTTTTATTTAGAAAAGATTCATAACTCGAAAAACTCAAGGGCAATATTTGCAGCTGATGTTCCTAACTGAAGAAATATAATAAACACAGAATAAGAAAAAGAATAAGAAACTAACACAAAATTGGTGTTGTCAGCCATTGCTCAGTGTAGTGTTTACTGAGGAGAGAATCTGAGCACTTATAGACTGTATGATTCAATATGCAGTGGGAATAATCTGTCAGCTAACTGATAAACACAGAGCAAGGGGATAACCATGCTCATATGGAACGACGGCATCATAAACAACCTTAAAGAAATTGAGATCACCCTATAAATTAGAAAGCACACAGAAGACCTTTCTCTCGTAGGAGAAGAAGAAGTTCCAGACCTTTGTAAAAGGGACTTATGTTTTGTTTCACCAGGGTGGATGTGAGGTTAATGTTTTAGGATGTGATCAACAGACCTATATTGTTAAAGGTAACCAATTAAGTCTGGAGTCGGATGTGATCAACAGACCTATATTGTTAAAGGTAACCAATTAAGTCTGGAGTCGGATGTGATCAACAGACCTATATTGTTAAAGGTAACCAATTAAGTCTGGAGTCGGATGTGATCAACAGACCTATATTGTTAAAGGTAACCAATTAAGTCTGGAGTCGGATGTGATCAACAGACCTATATTGTTAAAGGTAACCAATTAAGTCTGGAGTCGGATGTGATCAACAGACCTATATTGTTAAAGGTAACCAATTAAGTCTGGAGTCGGATGTGTTGATCCCACAGGCACAGATTTCACAGCCTAGCTGCACAACACAGGATGCCAGCTGCTCGTTTAAGGGAAAACGAAGAAGAAGATATATGTGAGATACAAATCCTTGAACGTGGTTACTTCTCTGCATTGCTGTTTATGTTATATTTAGATGTGTTGTATGGAGTTAGCGAGTTTGCTTAGTTATAGATATTTTTGCTGAGCGCTGCCATACTGGTTGTGAGTTTACAAGTGAAGACTTTATTTATTTATTTATTTATTTGAAAGATTCAAAGATCACTTTTACCTGTGAAATGGTTACTGTTGCAGTGCCACATAAGTCCGCTTTGATGCTCAATCTACCTAAATCCTCTTGATGCTTAATCTACCTAAATCCTTTTTGACGCTTAGGTAATCTACCTAAATCCTCTTTGATGCTTAATCTGCTTACTTTGATGATTAATATACCTAAATCCTCTTTATTTAAGCTATCCTATTGTATGGTCAATCTGTCCTCTTTGATGCCTAATTTATCCTCTTTGATGCCACCGAATTCCTCTTTGATGCTTAACTTACCCTCTTTTATGCTGCCTAATTCCTCTTTGATGATACTCAAGTCATTTGATTAATCTGCAAGAATCCTGTTTACTGATTATATTCATTAATATTTTATGAGCAAACAACATAAAACCTCTGGGATAATTGATCTATACAAAATATTTTAAAGTTAATTAGCCGAAATCCTCTGTGATGGCCACTTGATTCATCTACCTATCCTCTTTAATGAATTATTTACCCCAAATTACTGTTAACATTTGAAAGCCATTTCATGTGCAGAAGACATAACTTTCATATTGACTCATTCTCCTTTGTGTTGGTGGAGCTGAATGGGCACTCAGATTGCTGATGAGGGGAAACTGGTACTAGAAACAACTTCACTGTCATCAGCTAATGTTTATGTTGAAGCTACTAATGCCTTATTTTTATTTACTGATGTTTTTGCTGTGCATTTGTAACAAATTCGTTTCGAAATTAGTAGCAAAGCTTTTTTTTTTTTCTCTTGTAACATTAAATAGAATGTGAAATAGATATTTTAAAATCTGTGTTTATGTTGTGTTAGGCATAATTACATTTTAATGCAATAATATTTCAGTTAGCTGGTTACTGACTTTGATATATTTCAGTTTATTGACTAGTGCATTTTATATATTTCACAGTTGGGCAATGTATGTGATGCAAGACTCTAAAACGGATATATTAGACTTGTGGTGTGTTATTACTCTAGGTATGAGATTATACAGGTATGAGATTATACAGGTATGAAATTATACAGGTATGAGATTGAGATTATACAGGTATGAAATTATACAGGTATGAGATTATACAGGTATGAGATTATACAAGCACCCCAGCACATTTTGTGTATAACAGACACCTCTGTAGACAATAACAAAAACTTAGCTATGCTGAATTCATAATGATGACCAAAGATTATATTTTGCTGTTGTGGCTTATTAGGAAATTAAACATTGTGTGGTAGTTTTTTTTACTATTTATTATTAATTTTTTTTCTTTAAAAGTATGGTTCAAAATCATTGATAAGCTGAAAATCCTGACATAAGATCTGTCACACAATCTGACAACTGCACCTTTCTGTTTCTTCTTCTTCTTCTTCTTCTTCTTCATCTTCTTCTTCTTCTTTTTCTTCTTCACACTTACTGGCTGTTAAATCCAGCATAAAATTATGTCTGTTCATTCACTTCCGGACCTAAGTCTTATTCTAGAACCTGAGTCTTGCATGCACATCTGTTTTACAGATCTGACATATATGTGTGCAGACTGTGAGTTCTTTGCCTCTCTAGCAGATGCACTCCAATTTCAAAGAAAAATTGTCCACCCTCTCAAGTGTGACAGTCTACACAGTTTGATACCACAGCTTTATATGATAATCTGTGTTATACTAACATTGTGGCATTTTCATGTTGTTAAAGTAACAAAACAGTTACAGTGTGAGTGTTCTTACAGGGATGAACTGTTCCGTATCGCAGTAAGTGTCTTGGGTTTGACAGTAATTCTAACAGTAAAGTCAGAAACGCACACACACACAAAAAACTTGTTTGCATCAGAGGCACATCATTGGGCATAATTTGGGTCAATAAATGATGCTAAAGTCAAATGTTAATATGACATATTTTAATTATAGCAAGTTCTATTTTCATGCCTTTAGTGGACATAGATATTGGATACTAGGGCAAATAGATTTTTTTTAAATAAGTTACGACCAATGGGAATTGTGAGAAAACACATTAACTGATGAAAGGGATTTAAAGGAAAGAATCAATTACACATCTTAAGACTGTCTCCATCTTGTCTGCAGCCCACACA